GCTGGTGAGCTTTGATGGGCACTTGCTCGTGGGCTTTTGCTCCTCTGTTGCCAAGAGATCTGTCGCAACAGGAGCACGGGCAGGTTGGGGCTCCCTGAAGACAGCCTTGCGGGCTGGCTCTGCTGTGATGTGCTCACCGTATAAACACGTGGAGGATTAGAGAAAGGGATCATTATGCTAGCCTCATTTTCAAGAAGCTGAAATAAAAGCTTAGGAAATCATTGATCTGGCCAAAAGCACACGGGAAGTCTCAGAAAGACTAATCACTTAGTGCCAAGCTCCAGTCCAGGGGCTTAGCCATATTAAAAACAACAACAAAAACCTGCAAGACTCTTCTGTAACAGACCAAATTAAAATGTCTACATAACTTTCTTCTGCTGTTAAAAGTAATCTTTTCTATTTTGGGGGTAGTGCTTGTGTTTGGGTGAGCACAAAGAGTGGTAAGAGGAAGGGAAACAGGTCCCGGGTGATTGGTAGAGTGTGGGGTGAGGGCAAAGAGAGCACCAGAAAAGCAACAATTTTTAGAGCAGCTCCTTTAGGGACCATCCAGCGGTGCCTGCACCACTGGTGATGCCACCAGCAAGCCCTGGTGAAATGATGTTCCTACCTTGAACCACTGCTTGGCTGCTGTTGCGTGCTTTTCATATTTATAGAATACCTGCCAGCTCCAGCCCCCAAAATAAGTTCTAATACAGTATATCAGGGGTGGAAATAATAGTTGCTTACATAATTGCAATGTTACTGACACAGCTGATGAGCTGATGATGTTATTTGCACAGCAGTGATGGCATTCAAACCCTCGCCGACTTACAGTTACACCGTATGCTCTGAGCCCTAGCATGATTTAAATTACCATACGAACACAATGAAAATACAGTCTCCTGACAAGATAAAGGGGGGGGTGCAATAGCTTAAAAATCTCTTTTCGGTGGCTGCAGTGTTCAGTAGTGCTTATTCATGGCTTTTTAGCTTGCACATTTCATTTTAAGAAAGTAAATTGGAAGCATTATGTTCTGCCTTTTTGCCTTGATTTAAAACCTCTCTGTGCCCACTCTTTGGCTGTCTGACTGCGGTGAGCCACCTTCGGGGCTCTCACTGGGAAATGCAAATTTTTTTAAATCAATAGCTTCACTTTCTTTTTTTTTTTTCCCCTTTTTCTTTCTCTCCCAGTAACTGTTTAAATAGGAATCCATGTAGATGGGAGTAGGCAGAAGGCCATAGTTTGTAACCAGCCCAAATGTGATCAGTGTTAGAGCCACAGCTGTTGTAGGAATGCGGGTTTTGGAAAAGACTTGTGACTTATTCCCAAGCAGAGCAGTAACTGGCCACGGACTGATATTGATACCGAATCCCAGGGTTATACAGCCCAACCCTGCAGCCACTACAGAGGCTGAAGCAGCTCTGAAGCCCACGTGAAGAGCTCTGCAGGACTCGGTTCACAGTGGAGCGTTCACTGCTGGTGTTGCCAGTGATTCGCATGAGGCTCATTTTGGGTCTGGTCCCAATCCGCACAGCGATTAACATCGGGTCAACCCTTTGCACTGTTTGTACTTGCATTATGTTTCCCCACCTCTAATCCCCTGATCCACATAGTGTCCACGTGTGCCACAGTCTGTGCTTGGGAGCTGGTCAGCAGCATCACATCCCATCCGCAGGGGCTGCGCTCAGCTCTCGGTGGCTGAACTTGCTGCTTGATATCCTTGGAGTGAAGTCCCTTAAATGCTCTCCTGAACATATGAAACCATGCTTCTCCCTTCTACCCAGCTATACAGTGTCTTTACGGTCTTTTTCTCAAGTCCCTGGTGACCTGAGAACTTATAAAGACAAACTGGCCTTCAACCTATTTTTAATCTTCTGCTGCTGTGACATCTTACTTTCAAGACATCCTGAGTATTTGCCTCCCCAGTTACTCCCAGCAGTGCAGTGGCAGCATTTCTACTTTGAATCAATGTCTACAGCCCTGGCCCAGCTAGAGGCAACTTGGTGCACGACTGCCCCTCCATTCAAATTCCTCCTGTTTCTTCCTCACTAGCTCCTGATTTCAGGCTACTCCTGACCCTATTTCTTTCACTGGGTTTTTTTCTCTCTGTCTTTAGTCTGGCCCCTGTGATCAACTGGAGGGAGCAGCAGGAAAAAAAGAGAACGGACAGAATGAAGATCAAATGGAAAGAGGGAAGAAACAGAAACAAAAGATGCCTTTAAAGCAAATTACATATCTAGTCCACAGCACATCCGTATTGTACCTATAGGTGCTTGTCTACGGAAGGGTTAAAAGACGGAATTTTGGTCCGTGGATGGACACTGGGTGAGAAGTAGATAGCCGAGGAATGCAGTTAGCACAAGAGACAGATAATTTATTGTTTGAAATGCTGACCATAGAGATAAAAAGCTAAGAAATGTTAGGGAGGATGTGCAGCTGTGAAGATACAAGGTACAGCTCAGGATTTTGCTTGCTTTGCAAGCATCCTGTTATTGGCTTGAGCATAGCCGATACGTGACTGCTGGATTATGGTAACATGCCATGTGAACAAAGCCCATGAACCAATAGACAGGATGACTATGGCGCCACGTGAACAAAGCCCATGAACCAATAGACAGGATGACTATGGCGTGCCGCGCGCCTGGCCAGCGGGTGCACCCACCATAGGCTCCCTTTGCTGCAACCAAGGCGTGTTTTGGCACTCACTGGCCATGTGTGTCGAAACCCATTTCCTCTGCCATATAAATACCGGGATTTCCTGAAGAGGGGTGGGCAGGTGTACGGCAAGGTCACCGTTGCCTCCGTGGGGACGCCCACGTAAAGCTGGCACCTACCAGCCGCTGGGCTGAGCTCGCAGTGCAAGACGGCACAAGATTGTACGGATGGACCATCTTCCTCATGCTCCTCGGGTCGGTAAGACTATTGCTTTGCTGAATGCTTGTAGTGTAGTTAATAAAGCCTTTTGTGCTGCTAGATAGCCTGTGTGTGCGTGCCATTCTTTCCCCGGGAATCCTCAAAACCACTCTAAAACAGTGTTTTGGGATCAAGCTAAGCAGAGAAGTGTAAGGGTCTGGGGACAGAAATTTGAAAATGAACCAGGTACCCAGTAGCGTTTATTTTGTGCTCTTTAAGTTAATATTGCATTTATTTTACATCACCCTGAAATTCTTTGTGCTTCAAATTCTTGCATTGATAATACCTTGTGGAAGATATCAATGGTGGAAATCGTTGATTTGGGGCAGGGCAGAACAAAAAGCATGGGAGTTAACACCAAGAAGACACCTGGGGTTCTGCAAGAGTACAGATATACAGTGTTGGACTGTCCACCTTCTGCCCATGAGTCCACAAAGGTACCTGAGGAGTCAAAGCAACGCTGGGTCTGCACGCCTAACACTTAGGGGAATTAAGGTGGGATAAAGAGATCTCTAGGCTGGTGGCTGGATGAAAACGAGAAACAGGACAAGAAAAGCAAACTTGTTTGGCCCACCAGAAGGAAATGAGACTATTTTTTAAGCCAGAGGAATGAATGGGGAGGACAAAACCTCTGCGTGTGCCCTCAGACCAAAAAGCTGCCAGCCTTGATGGCACGGCCTTTGCTGTGTTGCTGAGACACCAGCACAGAGCTGCAGCACTGACAGGCCATATCTCAAAAGTATTTCTGTTCTTTTATTCTCGGGGAAAATCAGGTGAACGGGTGAGGTTGTG